CTGAAAGTTGGAAATAAACCACTGGCTGTAAATAAGGCCAGTGACAAAACCCAAGCCAAAATCAGGAAAAGATGGGAAATCAATGCAGCTCATAAAAACACGGAAAAAGAAAGGAACACATTTCATTTCTGCAGCGTGTACATGGAGAGGCGCGAGGGCAAACTCTATCAATTACACACGTGCACAGGGAAAAAATAAGAATAAATCGATGCTTCTCGTCGCACAGTGATATTCAGCCGAAGAAACGAATACACCTATTTGTAGCAAACTTCCAGAGAAGTCAGCAATGGCCCGTCTAACACATACACAAAGCAACTACACAAGGCATAGCCTCAGGAATTTCTGAGGTCTATTTTGCACTGTTAACAACAGATGATGTAGTCCTGCATGTTAAATAATTCTTTATCAAAACTAATGAAGACTGCCACTTTTTTTTCCTTTTTTTTTTTAAAGAATTCACTGGGTCCACAGTGTAAATAAATAAATTCACAGAGATTTCCCATTAAGGTAACACTGATGTAGAATAGAGAGCGCCGGAATGAGAAGTTAGAAATTAAAATGATTGGAAATTGCAAAATGGTTAGAAATTAGAAATATGGGTAGTCCGCAACAGAACCCAACATTTATGTTGCTAAGTGAATTTTGTGAATTTTGTTGGTTGTTATGTGAATCGGTTGTTATGTGAATCCCTGCAGTTGTTAAATTAATCAACACAGTTGTTAAATGAATCTGGTTGGACAGATAGATGGATGGATGGAAGATAGACAGGAGGATAGATAGATAGATAGATAGATAGATAGATAGATAGATAGATAGATAGATAGATAGATAGATAGATAGATAGATAGATAGATAGATAGATAGATAGATAGATAGATAGATAGAGGTTGGGATTTTTGTTTGGCTTCAGTGTTGTTTCAGTTGGGGGAATCTAACACAACGTGACAAACACAAGGCTGTAATCGCAAGGCCTTCAAACAAACTAAAAAGGTTTTTCTCCCAGAGCTGTTTTGCTTTGGGGTGGTGTCTTTTTTTTTCTTTTGTTTTTTTTTTCTTCTTTTTCTTCTTTTCTTTTTCTTTTTTTTTCACCCAAGGCAAGCCAAGCACAGTTCATCTGGTTGAGGCTGTCTTTTTAATGGGGGGGTGGGTGGGAGAGGATAACTCCGAAGGAAGGAAGGAAGGAAGGAAGGAAGGAAGGAAGGAAGGAAGGAAGGAAGGAAGAGAAACCAAGACAGGCTAATGACATGCTAAATTGCCACAGCTCCTTCCTAAAATATGCACCGTCTTAAAAAACACGTCGGATATTAAAGATTAAACGTCCGGGGACACCGGAGACCTGATTTACGAGCTGCCAGAAAGCTGCTAACTTTCTGATTCATGATGGGAGGTTCCCAAATCTAACCTTCCCAGCAAAGGAAATAGGTGTTTGTGTGTGTGTGTTGGGGGTGGGTGGGAGGGAGGTTTCCGTTGAAAGGAGAAACCCAGGGAAGGAATACGACGTGGCAGGAAGGCATCTGTCTTTGCTTGGAGACGCAGAGGGATGAGGAGGAAGAGGGTGGGTGGGTGGGTGGGCACTGCCCTGCGTTTCTCATTTGTTTTAAGGAAGGCTTTGCCAATCGAGGCAGCCCTTAATAAGTCATTTCTTCCCTCCCGAGGTTGGTGTGTTTTTTTTTTCTTTTTTCATCTGCCTGGGTCATTAATTCCTCACCCTTACAGAATAACAAATATATGTTCTACAACTCAGCCAGACTTGGGGGGGGGGAAGGGGGAGAAAAACAGGCAGATTGGAGACGAGCAGAGAAGGGAACATCGCTGTGAGATAAAGATGTTACTGTTGTTATTCGTTGGTTAATTAGCGGATTAATTAATGGCAGCGTTTTACACCCACGCTGGCAGAAATTGAAGTTCCCCTGCATTTTAAGTCCTCCTCCTCCTCGTCTTCCTCCTCCTCCCTTCTCCTCTCCTCCTCCTCCTCTTCTTCCTCCTCATCCTTCTCCTCCTCCTCCTCCTCCACCTTCTCTTCCTCCTCCTCTTCTTCCTCCTCCTCCTCTACCTTCTCTTCCTCCTCCTCTTCTTCCTCATCCTTCTCCTCCTCCACCACCTTGTCTTTCTCCTCTTTGTCTTCCTCCTTCTCCTCTTCTTCATCTTCCACCTCCTCTTCTTCCTCCTCCTCCTCCTCCTCCTGCTCCTCCTCCTGCTCCATTGACTAAACTGTGCATTTCAAAATATTTTTTGTAAGACTTCATAGTGCAGAAAACAGATTTCTTCTACTAACCTACAAAACAACCTCTGTATTTTAACAAGCAAGCAGAGATTCTATAGGTTGAGATTCTTTGTAACCACTAATAAGCAACAGCATTGGAATCCAAATATCACGATTAGGTTCCATTGCAATATCCTGACTTATTATTCTTCATACATTTCTCTTCCTCCATGATGTGGGAGGTCTGCAGTTTAGTTCCAGAGCTTACTAGTTAAGTCAGGTTAGATCCTAGCTGAAAGGAAACAATTCTTTATCCATAAAAATATAATAAAAGGTTAGGGAGACCGATATTCAGAAGTACTATATAGAATAGAATAGAATAGAATAGAATAGAATAGAATAGAATAGAATAGAAACAAATTTATATTGTAGAAGAGAAGAGAAGAGAAGAGAAGAGAAGAGAAGAGAAGAGAAGAGAAGAGAAGAGAAGAGAAGAGAAGAGAATATGGAATAGAATAGAATAGAATAGAATAGAATAGGATAGGATAGGATAGGATAGGATAGGATAGGATAGGAGTGGAGTGGAGTGGAGTAGAGTAGAGTAGAGTAGAGTAGAGTAGAGTAGAGTAGAGTAGAGTAGAGTAGAGTAGAGTAGAGTAGAGTAGGGTAGGGTAGGGTAGGGTAGGGTAGGGTAGGGTAGGAGATAGAAAATAGAATAGAAATAGAAATAGAAATAGAACAGAGCAGAGAAGAGCAGAGCAGAACAGAATAGAACATAAATTTTATTTAGCCAAGTGTGATTAGACGCACAATGAATTTGTCTCCGGTGCAGAAATGCAGGCCCAGTTAGTCCACAGTGAGTGAAAACTGCAATCAAAGCTTTGAAGACAATCGTATTTCCCTCTCAACCTGGCGATTAATTCTGCAAGCATTCAAGTTCACATTGTCCTAAGCCAGGCTTTATCCACTTGATTTTGCTGATTAAGCCACAATTGGCTGGACTCGTAGGTCACCCTCGGCTATAAATCATGGCTTGCAAAACAGAACGGTTGAGTTCACACCATCCATTCCCCCCTGAACGGTGTCCTGGCCCTGAGCTGCTTTGAGACAGCTTTTCTAAGTATCCGGTGTTTAGCCACGGGAAGAAGATGCTACGGATGGAGTCTCCTAGTGCCAATCTACTTACATGCCCCTCCCGGTTGTGCATAATACACACAGCTTGATTCTATTAGAAGGAGCTTTGTTTTCAGGAAGCTGAGGTCTTCCGCCCTGCGTTTTGACCTTCTGTTGGCAGTTATCCCAATAAGGCAGCTCACTGCAATCTGTTCAGACCCGTGCAGGCATTACTGTTGGAATGAGGCCAAGTTCAATTCCCAGCATCGGGAATTTGGAAGAGGTCACCCCACTGCAAATGTGCTGGGAGGGCGGGGAAGGTAGAGGAGGGATGAGGTAGTCTTGAAGACCCTCTTCCCAGGAGCCTTTCAACAACTGCCCCCATGCATAGATGGCCAACTGGGTTTATTTGAATAGAAGCGAGACCGACATTCAGAAGTACCGAATAGAACAGAAAATAGAAGAGAAGAGAAATAGAGTAGAACAGAACAAAATAGAATTATTCTAGTCTTCCATATTGTGTTCTAATATGCTCTGTTCTGCTCTGTTCTGTCCTCTCCTGTCCTGTCCTGTCCTGCCCTACCCTATACTATTTTCTACTCTACTCTACTCTACTCTACTCTACAATACTCTATTCTACATTCCATATTCTATTCTATTATTCTATTCTATTCTATTCTACTCTACTCTACTCTACTCTACTCTACTCTACTCTACTCTACTCTACTCTACTCTACTCTATTCTACTCTACTCTACTCTTTCAAAGCGGAGAGAAATTAATCAGCCTTGCACTTCGATTCACCCCAAATGGTAAATTCAGAGATCTTGTCAGATTGAAGCAATGTTCTTTTCTCATTGATTCTTCAGCTCTGTTCTTGAAGATTGAAACCCAATTTTCCTATCATTCAGAAAGGTCCCACCTTGGCTGGGTCAGAAGAGGAGATATTTATTTGGTGGCCTTTGGGTTTTAATTCGAGGGGAGGAGGCTACAAGCTCCTTTCAGGAGACCGGAGCATTGCCCAATTGTCCACTTACCAGTCTCATCATCACAGAGATGCTCACACGCGTCCATCGTTCTCTGCCCGCAAAGATCACGGATCCACGGGGACGTGGCATTGATTTGATAATACAGGGAGAGCTTCGCAGGATTCAGCCAGTCGGAGATGTCCAAATAGCTGCCCTCACTCACCACAAAACTGCTTCCTGCAAGACAAAACAATAGAAAAAGATGAGTCGGAAAACAGCAATTAGAAAGACCACAAGCCAGGAGACACCTATAGAATAGAATAGAATAGAATAGAATAGAATAGAATAGAATAGAATAGAATAGAATAGAATAGAATAGAGATGAGACGAGACGAGATGAGACGAGACTAGATGAGACTAGATGAGACTAGACTAGACTAGACTAGACTAGACTAGACTAGACTAGACTAGAATAGAATAGAATAGAATAGAGATGGAAGGGACCTTGGAGGTCTTCTAGTCCAGCCCCCTGTTCAAGCCAGAGAACCTAAACCACCTCAGACAAGTGACTGTCCAGTCTCTTCTAAAAAAATCTCCAGTGATGGAGCGCCCACGATTTCTGGGGGCAAGCTGTTCCACTGGTTGATTGTCCTCACTGTCAGGAAGGTGTGTTAAGATATATTCACCAGCTTGAGTTATTCGTAAAAATAATAAAGGATTGGATATAAATAAACTTTTATGATTTTAAACCTTCTTTCACCTTCCTCTCCCCCCAAAACACAAACACACCACGCAGTGTACACAACAGCAATCATACCAACCGTGCAGGAATAGCAGAGCAACTGGGAAGTTGCAAGTTTGAAGGAACCACCAATTAGCAAACATTTATTTTCATGCTACTCACAGGTCCAGTGACAAGTCTCAGAACATGAATACTTAATTAACGCAATGCCTTAAAAGCTGGCTGGGGTTTTTTTTTTTTTTGGTTGTTTTTTTTTTGATGCAGAGTTGACCTAATGTTGGAAGAATTAATGACTGCTGGGTAGAAAATATAATGGAGTGGTTTGCTGATCTTTCTTGGCAATCCTGTTTATATCTGTGTATATGTGTTTGTGGGGGATACTTCACACATACGGCACACATTGTCCACCCCTACAGAAGCAGCAAAACTGTGCTTTCTCCCACCACTTGGCAATATGCATCTTCTAATTAGGCAAATGTATTTTCAGTTTTCCTTATCTAATATCAGACAGCCAGCATAATAAGGGGAGGGGATTTTTTTTATTTTTTACAAACGCCTGCATCCTCATTAACTCTGATCTGCAATTACACTGATTATAAGGCTGTTTTCAAATGCTGTGACAGAGATCAGAGGTGAAGTGAAGAGAAGGAGAAGGAGGAGAAGAAGGAGAAGGAGAAGGAGAAGGAGAAGGAGAAGAAGAAGAAGAAGAAGAAGAAGAAGAAGAAGAAGAAGAAGAAGAAGAAGAAGAAGAAGAAGAAGAAGAAGAAGAAGAAGAAGAAGAAGAAGAAGAAGAGGAGGAGGAGGAGGAGGAGGAGGAGGAGGAGGAGGAATATGTAGGAAAAAAATGCAGAATGTTTTGGAATAACCACTGCTTCCAAGAAGACCAGTGAGGGCTGAATTCTAAGGAGTTATTATTATCATTTTTTGAATGCACGGGAGAACTCATAGCCTTCAGCGCAACTGGTTCTCCATTGTATGAAGGTCCCACAGGGACATCCTGATATAGTGTGTTTTGTTATATGATTTCTCCCACCCCTTAGGTCCTCTTCTCTCCAACCCAAATTTGTATCAAAGCAGAGTTGGCTGCAACAGCTTCAGAACTTCAAACGCCTTATCCACAGGTCTTCATCAAAGGTCAACTACTTTATTTTGACGCCTCTACAAAGAGGAGTTTGAAGTTCTTGACATTTCAGAAAAAATGTGTATGTTAGAGAACAAAAAAGAGATAAAACACAGCAAGACTTTGTTCTTTCCCCTTGTTTAATATTGTTAAGAGGCGAAAACACAGCCCAGAATACCCAACTGTCTCTCTTTCCATTTTTCTTTTCTCCCTACCTCATACATACATATACATACATACATACATACATACATACATACATACATATTTATTTCGCTGGGATTATGTTTTCCTCTTCTTCTATAATGTGTTAAAAAAAGGCTTAAATTTTAAATAAATTCATTTCTAAGTGGATGTTCCAGCAATCCACATATTAAAAGTTGTGATCAACCCAAACAGTAAAGTAATAAAACCATAAGACCCAATGAAAGCGGTATACGGAAGATTTATTGTTCGTAAAACTGTGGTGGCGCAGTAGTTAGAATGCCTTATTGGGGGCTAACTCTGCCGACTGCCAGCAGTTCAATCCTGAGCTGCTCAAGGTGGACTCAGCCTTCCATCCTTCTGAGGTCAGTAAAATGAGGACCCAGATTGTTGGGGGTGGGGGGCAATAGGCTGACTCTATAAACCGCTTAGAGCGGGCTGTAAAGCACTGTGAAGTAATATTTAAGTCTATTGCTACTATCCTTCCTTCCTTCCTTCCTTCCTTCCTTCCTTCCTTCCTTCCTTCCTTCCTTCCTTCCTTCCCATGACTTAGAATGCAGAATTGCAGGTTAACTCTGTCCACAGCCAGCAGTTCGATCCTGACCAGCTCAAGGTTGACTCAGCTTGACTCTCTCTCTCTCTCTCTCTCTCTCTCTCTCTCTCTCTCTTTATTATCTATCTATCTATCTATCTATCTATCTATCTATCTATCTATCTATCTATCTATCTATCTATCTATCTATCTATCTATCTATCTATCTACCTACCTACCTACCTACCTACCTATCCATCCATCCATCCATCCATCCATCCACCCACCCATCCACCCACCCACCCACCCTATCTCTCTCCCTCCCTCTCTCTCTCTCTCCCTCCCTCTCTCTAAATTCAAGCAACTTGTTTAATTAAAAACAAAATGGGAAGCCGTGCCAATACCAGCATTTGCCTGCAAAGATCAAGAGGAAAATTAGAGGGAAGCTGTTAATGGCTGTATCCAGTTCTCTGAGCATCGCAGTGAAGCTAGCCAGAGGGAAAGCAGATAAACAATCTTCAGATGAAACAATTAAAGTTCAATCACATGCCATTCAGGGACATGGCATTTGGGAGCAGAATGAAGTCACAGCTTATTTAGCAAGCCTCCAACCAGGGGATCGGTATGAAACCAATAAGACGGGCTTTAATCTCTAGACCTGGTTGAGTTTTGAGACCTAGAAATTGCATACATCCATGCTTTGGCAAATAGATACAGGTGGTCTTGACTTACCACCACAATTGAGCTCAAAATTCCTGCTGCTAAGCAAAATATTTGTTCAGGGAGTTTTGCCCCCATTTTACGACCTTTTTCCCCACAGCTGTTAAATGAATCATTGCAATTGATAAGCTTTAAATTCCACAATACCCAGCCTGCTTTGCCTGCTGCAGTGTAGGTAGTGCTCAACGTATGAACATATATATGTTCCCCAGTCAAAGGGAGATAGATAGATAGATAGATAGATAGATAGATAGATAGATAGATAGATAGATAGATAGATAGATAGATAGATAGATAGATAGATAGACAGACAGACAGACAGACAGACAGACAGACAGACAGACAGACAGGGTGGGTGGGTTGAGGGAGGGAGGGAGAGAGAGAGAGAGAGAGAGAGAGAGAGAGAGAGAGAGAGAGAGAGAGAGAGGGGGAGAGGGGNGATAGATAGATAGATAGATAGATAGATAGATAGATAGATAGATAGATAGATAGATGATAGATAGATAGATAGATAGATAGATAGATAGATAGATAGATAGAGATAGATAGACAGATAGAAAGACAGACACAGAGACAGATATAACAGAGATAGATACAGATAGATACAGATATATAGATGATAGATGATAGACACACAGATAGATATAATAGACAGACAGATAGTAGACAGATAGACAGACAGATGATAGATGATAAACAGACAGACAGACAGACAGATATAACAGATAGATAAATATAGCCAGTCCATTAGTGAAGCAAGCAAGCCTTCTATGAAAACATGAACCTCTTCACTGGTTAATATATATATTCTCTCTATATTCATATTCTATATATATTCGTTCCGTTTCCTAGTCTAACAACATCAGGCACAAGTTCCGGCAGTGTTCTACTGTTAATTGAACATTTCACAGTCACACAGGATGCATGTGAGGCCTCCAGGCAATTATAATCCCTCATTACAGCAAGCTGGGCTTGGTTCAATTTCCTCACTCAGGAAAATTACTTAAAAATAATATAAAATCTTTGTCCCTCCCCAATGCTGTTCCAAAATAGGCCCGAGGAGCGTAAGAGGTGCTCTGCTTTTATGTCCAATTCTAAATCCACTTAAAGCAAGGCTTTGACTAGTAATATGTTCCTAGACCTGGAGGCTTAATTTAAAAAAAAATCGGGGGTTGGGGGCTGAACTTGGAAGGTCTTGTACACACAACACATCTTATAACACTGTCTGTCATATTTTATCTTCAGCGGTTGATGATTCAGGGTGTTTTTTTTTCATCTGCATTTGTTTGTCTTCTGTTCTTGTGAACAAACAAGACTGTTTTTGCAAGAATGGCAAATACCTGTAACTCAGGTGTAGGATGAGCTTCGCCCGAGCTCATCGCTCGTTCTCCAAGCTTGCGGGTTGGTGTCCAAACATTTCGTTACCAGGCTAAGTAACATCTTCAGTGGAGTTGAAATCTTAATAGTGTATTGAATACACGGCATGGTAATGTCAAAGCAAAACCAACTCTGAGGTTCCCAGACACCAGTTCATAGAATTAAACAATAATTTCACCAGCCAAACCCCCAATTTCTCACGCAGTCCATATAAACAATTTCACTTTGTTATGGGAACTGTCTGGTTCCTCTCGGCACCTGCTGTGGTGTCCTTGGAAGGGTTTCAGGCTCTCAAGGTCTTCAGCGGAATCGTAGAGGTTTCGTTTCTCTATCTAACCCATTTTAAAGCAACACCTGCCCCCCCTTACTCTAAGGGCAAGTTGAAACGAAGAGGCATGCAGCTGCCAAAGTTTCATTCTTGACAGCAGATTTACTTATCAACCGTTAAACTAACTTAACAACTGTGGTGATCCACTTAACAACTGTTTGCAAGAAAGGTCCTAAAGTGAGGCAAAACTCACTTAACAAATGTTTCACTTAGT